CAAGATTGCATTAGTAAATCATCTGGATCATCCATGCCATAGCTGACAGTTCCATCGCCAATCCCTTTTTCACCTCTCTCGAGCTCTTCCAATAATCTAAAATTCCTAGGAACTGCAAGAAAACAGAATTGTGCATCCATCAAGCAAAGAGACAGAGATATAATTAGCAAGCAAAAACTATCACAAATCAAAGTTGCAACACATTAGTAACCGGCTCTAAGGGTTTCAATTTTCGAACACACAGAATAAGATTGGTGGCAGACCATACAGAGATGAAGGCTACAAACTTTCTCAGAGAATAGTAGATAGTGAAAATACATGTGCATACACAATAAAATTTGTATTATAAAACTGACCAAAAAAAACCATAGGTCTATGAAAAAAGAAATCAAACACCCAACACTATTATCGCTAGTAGAGGATTGGCTGAGAACCTCAATCATTCGACCTTTCTAATAGGACTTGTATTCTATGTAGACTGTAGAGCAGAGGACCACAATCATTTTCTTTAGAGCTGCCACTTTGCCTCCCTCGTTTGGGATTGCTTTTTTCAGATTTTTGGAGTTTGTTTGGCTCGCCCTAGAAGGTGTTCGAATATAATAGAGGAGGCTCTTCTTCAACCCCGTTTCGGGATAAGGGTCAACTTTTATGATGGGCGAGCCTTTTAGCTATTTTGTGAGACTGTGGATTGAAAGGAACAACAAAACTTTTAGAGAGGTTGAGAGTTATTGGGAGAAGGTTTGGGATCTTGTTTATATCATTTCTCTCTTTGGGCTTCCGTGTCTAAAGCTTTATGTAATTACTCCTTAGGCCAGATCTTGCTTGATTGGAGTCTGTTCTTTTAGTTTGTTTGGGCTGTCTTTTTGTATGCCCTCCCATCTTTCTTCTATGTCTTAATGAAAGATCAGTTTTTCATAAAAATTAGTGATAATAGTAGTGATGTTAAACATGTTCTTTTAGAATTTTTATTTAACTGGGGACGATTTCTTTTACACTTTTTTATACTAACTATTATGTTTAGTAATACTTGATCACACAAATTTATGATTTTGTATAAATTTTGTAAACTAAAATTCAGGCTTATGCCTCGACTCTTCAAGATGAAAAGCCTCAAGGTTGCCCTTAGCCTTTAAAAACATTGCGTGACTTATTATTGCCTTTATTTAGACTCCACAATTGCTCACAAGTTAAAGTTCCGTTCAAAATCTCCATCTTTAGATTCTTCCTATCCACAAACTCTGCCTAGATCACCGTTACCCTAATGCTCTTCTCTAGAGAGTAGAGACTCATTTCATCTAAAATCACCACAGAAGCTTTCGCTCCAATCCTTTAGTTAACTCATTATCACTTGGAACTTTTACATTGAATACCATCTAATCTTCCACAAAGCTATCTAACCACTAGTTGTCAAGTGAATGTCTGAAACAGTGTTGCTATTGACACCAATACTCTAGTTTCTGCTTTTCTTCTATGCTCTGCTATTAAGTGATTGAACTCTCTCATTCTCTAGTTTCTGATTGTTCTTCCATGGGTTGCTACTGAAACAAATATTCTCCCACCGTGAGCCACAATCCTGGCTTAGACATAGGAGTAGTTGAGTTCTAACCGTATTAGCTAGCTAGATGTTCCTTTATGGATACTGTGTTGCACTTGAACCAACTTGATGCAAGTTCACTAGGGTATCCACCTCTTTTCTCTACAACTCACTTTTCTTTTATTTTCTTCCTTAAATCCAATCAACAAGTTAATTAGGAGTTGGCTATTAGGTTTACAATAATTTTAATACCACAGTCAACTAGGCTGACTTAGAACTGATACAGTTGTGAGTTGTACAACCTATACAAAGGATGTTGTTCAAGGTCAGTCAACTAGGTTGACTTCAAGTTGAATTAACCTGCTGGGTTGATGTGGCTTACAGTGCAGATATATCATGTATATAGGCCCTGACATCATTCTTCAGTAAGATGGATGCAGACTGAATGGCAACTTGAACATTGGAATAGGTTGTCGTGCATGCAGAAGTTGAGGTAATCAGGAACACCAAATTGTAAGAAAGCTAATTTTTGTATTACTCTAGCGACTGAAACTAATATCATGATGCAGTAACCAATGCAGACAGATCATTCTCAGCACGGTAAATAGTTAAATAAGGATAACAAACGGAAAAGGGTCCTCTTTAAAATTAGCGAGATCTAGTCTTGGATGAATCTTCTTGAGACGGATCAATCAACCCAAGAGGTAGATTACTTAATAGTTCAGAAAACAAGTTGCAAAGAGGAATGATAGCAAAGAACGTTTGCCCTACTTCTAAAGATTAATATGCCAAACAGCCTTTCACGAGAAATCCAATCTAATCCAAAAGCTAACCAAGTCATAACCTTAAGAGGCTGTGATATCAATGTAATATTTCTTTTAAGAAGTTAGTTACGAGGCTCCCTTTTCCTCCCTTCCTATATTAACCTTTTTTAGTTAACGAATACTTATATAAGAAACAGGAAAAAAATCATGAGACAATTTATTTCATAGCTCTAGACTTTTAAATATATGCTCTCTCAAAATTCATCAGTCACGCGGATCCAAAGTTCCAAACTTCAAATCACAGTGTTCTTTATTATTTTATGAACAAAGTTGAACAATGATCACCCACGACTCAACAACAATAAAATTTACTTCATGCTTTGTAAAGCAAATAACCAAAAGAATTAAAAGACAATCAAGTAACGTTATCAAACACGTGGCCAACAAGAATTCCAATTCCAAAGGACTTAAACCCCTCAATCAACCAATCAACAAACAACAATTCTATTAATACCCAAACCGAACGCCAATTAACCGAACCAAAACCATAATTCCAAACCCGACCAAAACCCCAATTAACCCAAATAGCTTTAGAAACAAACAGAACAACCAAAAACGAAATCACGATCAAGTTAACAGAGATAGGAAGATCGAAATTGAAACAAAACACGCAACAGGCAAAAAGGAAATAGAAAGAATTAGGGTTTGAAGAACTGACCAACCACCCTGGATCCTTCAGAGCCCATGAAGCATAGAATTCAGAGAGAGATTCAGAAACTTTCTAGAGAGAGAGAGAGGAAGAAATTAAGGCCAAGCGGCCAAAGAGTTGAAGAAAAGAAAGTAAATCGCAGTCCCACCTACTAATGACTGCTGTTTTCGCGAGTCCCGCTGGCGAGGCAGCGGGTAGTGATTCTCTGTGACGATGTCCATGGTACTCCCATACACCCGCAGATCCCAGCCCTACACGTAAGAGATATCCATCCGATTGTTTACTTCTGCCATCGGATTAATATAGTCTTCTAATTTTATTAAAATTGTAAGCTAAATTTGAACAATTGCTGCAATTTTTAAGTTAAAAAAAAAAAGAAATTGTTGCAACTTTTATCTTCTCCTTAAATTTTGGATAGATTTTTGGTCGATCTAGTAGTGAGCTAATCACTAATCCAAGAGTGAGCATGTGCTAGATTTAAGCATTTAGGGTGTGCTCGGATTAATTTTGTTTTAGCATGACTAAAATCAATTTTATCATTGTYAAAATCACTTTCCTCTCTATTCGTGTTTCGTCAATTAAAAAAAAAAGATTCTAGAAAAATTCAAAATCACTTAAAATTGATTTTTAACAATGTCGATGGAAATATCGAGGTACCAATTTTATAGATATGTCGATGTTGAGGATTTCAAAAAAAAAAACATAGAAATTGTGATATTTATGCAAATTTTTTGAATTAGTAAATAAGACTTAGCTTAATTAGTTCCTAATTATTCAATTTTGATCATCATATCTAAATATATCAATAATATACTTATGAAAATGTAGTTGCAATGATAACGTCAGAACAAAGTCATGTATATACTTACATGTAAATTATTTGAATTAGTAAATTAAAGTTACTATTGATTGATTATGAATCGATAATTTCTAATATTTAGTTACATCATTAAACAAGATATGTGAAATAGGTATAAAATTTGAAAAATAAAATTTATTATATACAAATAACGGTGATATAATTTAACTAATATCAAAGATGATATTTTCTTTTAATTCAAATAAACATATAAATATAATCTTGACCCAAATTTAAATGAGAAAACCTCAATTTTTTTAAAAAAATATTTGATTATCATTCGTTAGATTTACTTATTTCTTAGGACGTTTGCTTTTTTATAAGAGATAAAGAAGGAAACTTTGGTAAAAAAGAAAAAAAAAAGTCGATTTCAAATTATTTAGGAGAAAAAATCAATTCCTTCGTTATCTCACTCAAATAAATTATACATATATTTTCAAATTATTTAATCGAAATATTCATCAACACCACTAGTGAGTATATCTTTTCAAATTATTAAAAAAAAATCAATTTATAAATTATAAGTAAAATCGGCATGTCAACATTACGTCGACCTTGGGGAAAAACGACACTCCCCCATATCAACATATGGCTCGAAATTTGAAACACTGGGTATCACTTGGTGATTTTAAAAAATCAATTATACTTAAATCTCTTTTTCGAAAATCACTAATGTCACCGCCAGTTATAGATATAACGCTAATGATTTGGTGAGACGTAGAGATGTAGCAACCCCGTGAAATGTTTTTCCTTCAAAGATTCAAAATCGAGCTCGGATAGAATTGAGTAGGATTTAAGTGCTAAAAAAATATTCTCAAATGTTTTAATAGATTTACTATGACTTAGCTTATGAATTTTTTTAAATGGGAAATATTGTTTACTGATTTGGGGTGAGTTTGATTTTTTTTTCTTTTTGACTTTTTAAGAAAATGTTTTTAAAGAAAATACTTTTTATTGTTTTGTAAGCACTTCCAGAAGCAAATTAATTATTTATTTAATACAACAGTACTTTTAACATATTAAGTATTAACGTGAGCATATATCTAAGCCATATAGGTTGACGACAAGTAATAGGTAAGTAAATATAAGTTCAAAAGGTTATATATCAATGACCCAACCATTATTTGCTGGTTTATTGGTCTAAAGGGACTAAGATAATTCAAAAGGATAGGGAGAGAATAAGTTAAAATTTCATAATAGCTACAGTTTCGTTGTTGGAGATATTATATAGAGAAACTTAAGGAAACACAAAATAAACAATCTGAACTCAGCGTTGTTTCCTTAAGATAATTTTGTTCCCTCCGATACTCAAGACGACAGATTTACCAATCTGTGAATGCAGCACTTCATGCATAGGACTCAACGAACCTTTAGTATTTAAGTACTCGTACAGAAGGAAAAAGAGAGAATTTTGAGAGATCGATTTTTCAAGTAAAAAGACATAACCTTTACAAAAGACATATCATGCATGAAAAGGTACGATTCTTACTTTTTAGTAAAAATAATTTTATTAAAAAATTCCAACATTACCTGCCAACCAAATGTACATTCAGTTGTAAGTTGTTTGAATATTTAGTAATACCTCCCAAACATAATCTCTATATAATGAAATCAAAATTTTAGAGATGTTTAAAATGATATGTTTAACTAATTGAAACTATGACTTAAAATAAATTTATTTAAAGACGGCTAGTATTTATTTTATTATTATTTTTTTTTAGATAAAAGATGTCTAATATTTAAAAACCAAAAGATATAAATAAAATCTCTCACATGTATTTGACATAACAAAAAATTACATAAAATTCTAAAGAATACAAATTCACGAGATTTTATAATTATTTGTTGTACGGTGTTTTTTTTCAATGACATTTTTAACAAAATTCCCACGACAATCGAGAAGAGGTTAGAAATTTTTTAAATCAGGTTCTTTTAACAAATTGCAAACTATACCTTTTTTTTTCTTCAACCCAAAATCTTTCGACAAAAAATATTGAACCTTCCAAAAAGCCACTCGCAAATATAAGCTTCTAGAAACTCGAGGTAGAGTCTAGATAAATCCTATTCCTCACTCTAAAAAGTCTCGAAATGATATCGAGTTCACTCGAAGTGAGCCCAAATAAGCAACGTGGGTCAAATCACTCAGGTCAAATCAATTAGACTTGATATAATTGATTTGATTCGTCATAGGTGAGTTAGGGTGGTAGTAGACCAACCTATTAATTGATTCCGACATATAATATCTCCTCAGCTTACTCAATGCGAAAAGAAGGAAGCTCTCTCTATAAGTAAGAGGAGAGGCCCTAAATTCTCACGACATGTATGATGAGATTGTCGAGACAACACATATCATTTTATTATTTTTTATTTTTTGAGTATAACATGTGAGGTGGGGATCGAACTCACAATCATTTGGTTAGAAATATATGTCAATTACCGTAGAACTATACTCGTTTTAGCAACATATCATTTTATTTGGCCTGCTCTCTTATATTATGCTCAATTTCATTCTATTGAGCATCCAACTCTATTGTACTTAACATCATACCGGTGTACAGATCTTCTAGTGTTTGCATATGTTTGTTCGGTGCCTTCTTACATTAGAACCTAATTAAATCTAAATCTTGCATCAACAAAATCTAATCCATATTACATAATGTTCTCAGAGTTTGTTTGATATTTTGAAGTTGAATTTACGAGTGGGAGGAGGTGGATCCATATTATATAAATTTGTATCTTAATTGATTAACAATTTTTAATTGATGAAATTATTAGACTATAATTTTAATTGACCTAATTACCTGCCAAGTTTAGAGTTCTAATAAAATATTAATTTATAGTTTTAATTGACTTGGGAGTATAAATTGATTTTTTTTAACTTTTATTAGATATTTGTATAAAATTAATATTAATATTAAAAACAAACATAATAAAGTAAACTATTATGTTTGGCCCATGTTTGAAGTCCAATTCTCATTTGGGCCTATGGATTTGATATCGGAGCAATGACACAAATGACTAAAATTAATAATCTCTTTTAAAAAATATCCAAACCTAAGAAATATTGCAATAATGGCTAATTGATTTTTTCCGTTAAATTCTAAAATATTTTGTAGACAAATATAGTCTTGTAACCAATTAACTATATACGCAATTTAAGATTTTTAACTAATAGTAAAAACAATGGACTTTGGAATCAATTCTATCTAATCAAATGAATGAAATTTAAATAATTAACTTAAATCTAATTTATAATTGATAATAAGAATTTGAAAGTTGATTTAAGAAAAATTATTAAAAATGTGTTGGGGTAGATTTTGAAATTTACCCATCTAAAATTCTAAAATAAGGGGATAAATGAGATTATTACTAAAATCATAAAATTTACTTCTCACATTTGACTTGAGTTTGAGAAGTTAAGGTTTTAGAAGTCCCCACCTTCTTCCCACCTTTTGGTCTCATGCAACTTCATGCGCCCCACAGCCATCGTCTTCCTCACGAAGTAGATCCGCAAGCCACCATCCCACCACTCACCTTCAAGGCCACCATCCCGTCTTGCTGCTCACCTCACGAAGCAAATCGTGC